ACAGTCCCGCTGAACTGTGTCAGCTCATTAATCAGACAGGAATCGTCCGTGCTCAGTCACACGCAGCGTCACCTGGGTTTGCTTTTTGTCTTTAGTAAACACAGCAGGTGCAGTCATTTGCATCTGTGTTTGCAGCCTTGTTAACATGAACACCCGATTGGAGGCACTTTGAACGGTTTGCATCATATGGACACCTTATTATAATGTAGCTGTAATGCAGGAAAACTGTGAGAAGAAGTGAAAGTGACAGTAAACCCTCCAAAAGCTAACACACACACACACACACACACACACACTAGGCTCCACAAAATGAAGCTGAATAATAAACTGTTGGCATCAAACCACAACTTATTATGAAGGCCAAACCCCCACCAGCAGAAATGAGCACTGCCTCCCAAGATCAAGAGACAGGAAATACCTGCCAGTGAAGGGCCGGCTCTGTCAGCTCCCAGCAGATTTACTGGAGCAGCAAATGGCTCCAGCAGCGGGGCCTGTTTCCCTGCCCTCCTTTTCATGAACACATCACACACATCACATCACACTCTCAGTCAGACCAGACACACACACACACACACACACACACACAGGTTTGATACACTCAATAAGTACCTTTTCTTTCACTGGAAAGAAGGATGCCACAGTGGAATAAAGTTCCCCATTGAAAATACATTTATGCTGAATTGTATGATTGTATGAGAATAAAAGTAAACAAGCAGGATAATTACTTTAAAAAGCTGTGTCCACAACCTTTTGACTTGGGACACGTTGAAAGTAAAGCATCATGGTGTAGGTCAGACATAGTGTATGTGTTGAGGACTTTTCTGTTCACATCGTTTTATTTCAAAGACTGGCCAGTGGAGAAACTGACCGGTTCACTGGAATCATCACATCAGCGCTTACATTTGTCTTGGGGCCGCTTTGAGGGCCCAGAACCCCAGGTTGGGAAATACTGGATTAAAATATTAAATGTAAAAGTACTTATTGAGGAGAGGTTTGGGGCATTTTCATGCATTCAAGTCAGCTTACAGAAGTAAGAAGAGGAATCCCTAGGAAGATGGAAGGAGAGACAAAGAAATAAGGAAAGGAAGGAAAGAAAAAGCGAAAAAGGAAGACAGGGGAGAAGAAAAGGACAAGGAAAGATACGGTACAGAAGGAGAAGCAAATAAAAAAGAGATGAAAGGAAACTGGTAGGGATAGGAAGAGTGGAGGAAGAAAGGAGGAAAACAAACAAATGAAGATGCTGATGAGTGACCGCTGAATCCAGTCGTCAGATAAATAGGGCAGTAACAGTTTCCCCCTACAGAAAAGGTTTCAAGTGTCCCATGACAGATCCTCTTCACTGGAGAAGAACCCAAGGCCATGTACAGTGAATGCTCAGTCATACACACACTTGACTCCCCTGAGACTCGCAACACGCTCCAAACCTAGGCCTCGCCTGGCCCTCGCCTGGCCCTCGCCTGGCCCTCTGCTCTGACTCATGTAGGAAAAAAAGATTTAATCATGGGAGTAAATTGGCTCGGTGGAAAAATGACTTGTCTGGGCATAATGTGCATGTGCGAGCCATTTTGACTCATTACGCCGTGATCTGGAAGGTTATGGAATTGAAAGCAGCATGAAGGACGGAGCTTCCAAGGGCACCGAGAACGGCACCACATGTTGTCAGACAACATGCTACCATGGCAACATGGAGGGGTGGGGCGGTGGCATGAACTGTGGGTAAATCTGTGGGGGGCTCTGCTATCAACGCTCTCTCAGATCAATGAAATGTTTGTTGTACAGAATTAGGCAGAACTTATGTCTGCACTTGCACTTACCACACACAGGTGCCCATGGTGTTTGTTTTCAGCTGCATTCTGTTTGTGTTTGGAGGTAAAATGTGTCTATTTACAGATCATACACCAACATACACCACACCGTGTATGGCAGGTGTCCAAATACTGAGCCTGACTTTGACTTTACAGCAGATTGGTTTGGTATCATTTCTGCCCACTTGGAACCTCAACAGAGGTGAAAAATAGTGCCAAGTACTATCCCCAACATTTGACTGATGGGAAGACAAATAAGGTGAGAGGAGTTGAGTCGGTACCAGGCGGTGGAAAAGGGGCTTTAGGGTATACGAGACGAAATTCTGAACCTGCTGTATGTGCTGTGCTTTAAGGCCATCAGAATGTCGCCATTTGTCATCATTTGTTCGGTTCAGGGATTAAACTTGTACAGTCAGCAGCACCTGATCCAAGCTCCAAACCCACACTGCTGAATGAAATAAGACATGTTCAGGGCTATTTAAAGGTCTGTGTAACTGATCCCTGCCCCCTGCACTGAGGAGAGCTGAGAGGGGCAACAGACCAACCTCGACAACATGCTGGGAGTTAAAGCCCTGGACGGGCAGCCCAAAAATCATCAGGTCTGTGTTTTCACTGACATGATTGACAGTGAGACCTGGAGGAGAAGAGAAGCACATTCCTCTGGTCTGAATTCTCCCAGGGCGTGGAGATTCAGCTCACTCACTCTCTGTCTCGGTGAGACCATCCCGGGTCCGGACCCTGACTGACTGAGGTTGCTCTCGACT